CCCCTACCACGCCCCGGCCCCCCGGGCCCACGCCCGTCCTACCACCCCCTCCCCCTCCCCCCCCCCCCCCCCCCCCCCCTCCCCCCCCACCCACCCCACCCCACCCTACCCCTCCCCTCCCCACCTCCCTCCCTCCCATGGCCTCCACCCCCACCAGCTCGTCCTCCGACGACGGGGTCCCGGCTCACCTGTCCACAGACGCCCGCGGGCACATTGTCTCGGTTGCCCGCTGCCACACCAAAGCCCACAATGGCCGGCCGGACTCGTTCTTCGACTCGTCCCGCTTCAACGTACGTCGCACTCCTTCCTCGCCCTTCCCCTCCTTTCATCACCACCTCCTCGCTCACCTCCTCCCGCCTCCCCTCCGTCACGCTCCCCGCGTAGATCCGATGGGTCGGCACCTCGGGCGTGCTCATCAAGCACAAGGTCGGACACGGACACTTTGGCGACGTGTTTCTGGCGGCGGAAGAAGAGACCGATCGGCCATGCGTGATCAAGGTGCTGAAGCCGGTCAAGCGCGACAAGATCAACCGCGAGATCATGTTCCTTGAACACCTCAAGGGCGGCGTCAACATTGTGGAGCTGATGGCGTGCGTCAAGGTGCCCAGCTCACGGCTCAAGTGCCTCGTCTTTGAGTACATCCACTCGCCGGACTTTAAGGTCCTGTACCCCACCTTTTCCGACCTGCAAATCCGGTACTATATGTACGAGCTCGTCCGTGGCCTCGAGTACACCCACTCGCAAGGCATCATGCACCGCGACATCAAGCCGCTCAACGTGCTCATCGACCCCAAGGAGCACAAAGTCCGGCTCATCGACTGGGGCCTTGCCGAGTTTTACTTTCCGGGTAAGCCCATCCGCAAGTGGCCCGGGACCCGGTGCTACAAGTCGCCTGAACTCCTGCTCAACTACGAGTACTACGACTACTCGGTCGACATGTGGGCGCTCGGCTGCATGTTCGGCGGCATGATCCTGCTGAAGCACCCGCTCTTTCGCGGCCGCCACACCAACGCAAACCAGATGGCCGCTATCGTCAAGATCCTCGGCACCGCTCCGTTCCTCGCCTACACCGAAAAGTACAAGATCAAGCTCTCGCAGGACATCGTCGCCGAGCTCAAAAAGTCGCGCGGCAAGCCGTGGGAGACCATGATTTCCAAGAAGAACCGTCATCTCGCCTCGCCCGAGGCTCTCGACCTTCTCACTAAGCTCTGCCTCTACGACCACCACGAGCGCATCACTGCTGCCGAGGCGCTCGAGCACCCGTACTTTGATCCTGTCCGCGACGGCATGCCCGCCGAGCTCGCCGCCTCGCTCTCTGTCGGTCCATCAGCTCCTGACCGTGCCTAGATGCAATACCTCTCATGAGCAGCCGTGAACATATAGAGTCATGTTATTAAAGAGTGCAATGTGAGAATGCCCTTGCCCACCCACCCACCCACCCGCCCGCCGTGCCGGGCTCGACTCGGCACGGCGGCCAACGGCCAGCCAGCCAGCCACACCAACGCCCACCCACCCATCACCGCCACACGCACACTCCCCAACACTCAACCGCCACTTTTGTCCACCACCCCCCACCCCCCTCCCACCCTCGCCCGCTCTCCCCACACCACCACCTATACTCTCGTGCGGCAGACGGCCTCCGGGCGATGAGCGTGGATGTGTCCGAGGCGTCGGCGCAGCTCGCGTCGGTGCTGGCGGAGATCAACGCGGCCGTGGCCGACGGCTCGCTCTCCCCCGACTTTGCCACCAAGCTCTCTGACGTCTACACCCGCGGGCATGCTGCGCTCCTCAAGAGCTTTGCTGCCGAGCAGAGCTATCTCAAAAAGGCCAAGCGGCTCAACCTCGAGCTGGCCGAGCAAAAGGGCCCCGCCGCGGTTGCGGCGGGCGACGGCGGCGTGGGCGACGACGCCGACAACGGCGGCGATGGCACCAGCGGTGGCGACAAGGCCGAAAAGAAGGAGTCCGGCGTGGAGGCTGCCACCAGGGAGCTTTTGCAGCACAAGCTTGATCTCGACCTTGCCGAGTCCCGGATCCAGACGCTCATGCTCACCATCGAGCAGCTCGAGCTCGAGCATGCCGAGGTCAAGGCCGAGTACGAGACGCTGAGGGCGGCCGAGGTGGCCGAAGTCCGACCGGCGTTTGAGCGCGATCGCAAGGCAGTGCAAGCGCTCGAGAAAGAGGCTACTCAGCGGCGGAGCCAGATCCAGAACCTCAAGCGGACCAAAGCGCAGCTGCTGGAGGACGCGTCGGCCGCGATCAAGGCCAAGGCCTCGTACGCCTCGGTCCAGAAGCAGCTCCAGTCGGAGCTCGCCAAGCACCGTGACGAGGCTGCCAACATCGAGGCTGCCACACGGGTCTTTCGCAAGAACATGGCCGAGCTCTCGGAAGAGGCCACACGCCGCGACGCCTCCGTCGCCAAGCTCACTGCTGAGGAGGCGCGGCTGCTGAAGGAGCTTGAGGAGGCCAAGACCGAAGCGGCCCAGGCCAAGTTTGCTGCAGCCAACTACGCGTCGACGTACAAGGAAGTTGAGCGCGCAGTAGAGGACGTCGAGTCGGATTTGACCAAGGCCAACGCGCAAGTCCGCATTCTCGACGAGCACCTCGCCGACATGGCGCTTCATGCCAAGGAACTCTCGTTTGAGGCGACCAAGACGCACGAAAAGCTGACCAAGCTCAAGCGGGAAAAGGCATCGACGCTCAAAGCGCTGGTGCGGGTCCAGGCTGACGTTGACTCTACCCGCGCACAGACGATGGATCTCGAGATGCAGAAGTCCGAGCTGGCATCCAAGGTCCGTGCTTTGCAGAGCTCAATGGACTCTGCCCAAAAGCAGGCAGCCAAGGCGGCGGTCGAGGTCGACTGGTACATCTACGACTTTTTCAACGAGGAGCTGCTGGGTCAGGCCAAGGCTGCCCAGGTCAAGGCACTGTACGAGGAGAACCGCGCGCTGGAGCGCGAGCTCGCTGCACTGCACACCAAAGAGAAGAGCTTGCTCGCCGTCCAGAAGGACCTGGTGATGAAGAACGACAACTTGGCGCGGTCGTGCACCCAGCTGGCGTCGCAGCTGAAGGAGGCTGAGGTGAAAAAGGCCATGCACGCCATGGCCGTTGCTGACTTTTCAAAGTCGACGACCCAGGTGGCCAAGCGGTACAAGTACTACGAGAAGCTGTTCAACACGGTGAAGAACGAGCGTAACCGGTCGGTCAACGCCCTTCAACAGCTCCACCAGGAGGCCGCAGAGTATAAGGAGAAGCTCAAGGTGCTGGCAAACGAGATCGAGATCCTGCGCGCCGAGATCACCGCCAAGGACAAGGAGTATGTGGCCAACAACCTCGCGTTCAAGAACGCGTGCACCCAGCTCGATGCGCTGACCATCGAAGTCAACAAGTTTCTGTTCGAGTACAAGAAAAAGCGCGACGCCATCGACCAGCAGCTCGCCGAGGTCGAGCGGCTCAACTCGGCTATCAACTCTGCCGAGGCTGCCATGCTCAAGCTGAAGACCCAGTACGAGGCCGCTGTTGAAGACCGCAACTTTACCGGCATCCAGCTCATCGACCGCAACGACGAGCTGTGCATCCTCTACGAGAAGGCCAACTTTCAGGACCGCGTCCTCCGCACCGGAGAGCTCGAGCTTCGTGACCGCGAAGAAGAAGTCCGCCTGTACAAGCTGCAGCAAAACGAGCTCCATCGGCGCGTCCATGCCAAGCAGTCGCTTGTCTCGCGCGAGACCGAGCGGACGCTCCTTGCCGAGATCGAGCGGTCGACTGCCGAGCTCGAGGCCGAGCAAGCCAAGGTCCAGAAGCTCGCTGTCGATCTCGAGGATCCGTCGAACGAGCTTCGTTGGCGGCCGGTGCCCGGGCGCGACCCGACCAAGAAGGAGCTCTACTCGAAGCTCAAGGAGCTCGAGGAGCGGCTGAATGCCAAGGAAGAGGCGCTGCTAGAAAAGTCGCTGGTGCTGGAGGAGATCTCGGCGCTCTCGCGCCGGCTGCGGACCAAGGCTGCCGACGGACAAGACGACACACTGGCGCTTGCCAAGCAGGTCAACGAGTTCCAAGCCCGCATCCGCACAACGACCCGCAAGATGATGGCCACTGTTTCGGAGCTCTCGATGTACCAGGCGACGGCGATGAAGCTCAAGCAAGAGGTGGCTGAGAAAGAGGGACTTCTCGCCGAGGCCGATGAGCGCATCGAGTCCGGCCTCCCGCCCACCGCTGAAGCCGCCCGCGCCTGGTCGCAGCACCTTGCCGCCCAGCGCCGCGCTGCCCTTGCTGCAGCCGGCTCGATCGAGGGCGACGACGACATGTACCCCAATGACTGGGAACCAAAGGATGGGCCGCCGACGCGGGCCAAGCCGCGGATCAACGCCTACATTCCGCACCACACCACCGGCCTCCTCCCCATTCCGCAGCCGTTCATGTACCCGCGGTTCGAGCCAAGTGTCACTGGCTCTTCGATGCGGCATGTCCGCGCAGCCAGCGAGAACACGCTTGCCCGCGGCGACGGCGACGAGTAAAGTTGGCAAACGCAAATACAAGCGAGTGCTAGCCTAGCCGCCGGGCTGGCCGTTGCGAGACTGCGGCTGCTCGCCACTGCTCTTGTAACATCCGTAAAAAATGGCGTCGTTCCTGCGCAAGGCAGCCAATGTGCTCGACAAGCAAACTGAAAAGTTCATGAACGCGCTTGGCGTGAGCTCTACAGAAGCTGGTAGGCAAGCATGGTAGAGGCAGCGACACAGTGTGAGGAGAGAGCGTGTTGTAGATGGCTAGGGTGGGAAGCAACGGCCGGTGTGCGGAGCCTTTTCGCCTGTGTCACTTGCACGTGCGACTCACGTTTCATGAACGGTTTGTGTCATTCTCGCCAGGCCAAGACAAGTCGCCGGCTGGACCGGGACACAGCGTCGCCGCAATGGGCGCATGCTGCCGGGCTCCGCCCGAGGGCCCGCCGTTCTACATCGGCACGCACTCGGCACATTGCACCGAGTGCATGGGCTCGCTTTGGCACAAGAAGCGATTCAAGTGTCGTATCTGCATGTCGTACTCGCTCTGTCACGATTGCCTCCACCTCGCGCCGCATCCGGCGGACCATACCTTTGACATGGTCGCCATGGACGATGGCGGCTCCATCCCGGTCGCCTACCCGCCTGGCCCAATGCCTGGTCAGTCTCCAGGTACTACTCCGCCGCCATCGGCACCCGCCCAGCCCGCGCCGCCGCCGTACACGCCGCCGGTCGCACCCGCTCCGATTCCGCCAGTCACGCCCGTCCCGGTTGCGCCCGCGCCTGCGCCCGTACCTGCACCCGCACCCGCCCCTATCCCCGTACCGGCACGCGCGCCCGTGTCATCGGTCGGCATGCCCGCGGCAGACTTTGAGACCTTCCTCAACTCGGTCAAGTCCGAGTCGTTCTCCGATGGCAAGATGGAAAAAGTGCGCATGGTCTCCAAGACCGCGCGGTTCTCGTGTGAGCAGGCAGGTCGTCTCCTTGACGCCCTTAGCTTCGACTCGGACAAGATCGACATGGCCGTCCTCCTCCATCCGACCCTTGTCGACGCCCACAACTTCTACCAGGTTCTTGACCACCTGGGCTTTGACTCGTCCAAGAACGATGTCCGCTCGCGGCTGGGCCTCTAGACGTAAACAGTTTCTCGATCCCGAAGCTCTCACTCCTCGCCCGAGTCCGAGAGCGAGGGTGAGATAAGATCAGGCGGGCCATCTGCAGTTGCAGGCTGCTGTCTTGCGCCGGGTGTCTCGATGGCGTTGTGCACCTTCCACGCCCGGTACGCCTCACCGGCGTCCGACGTCACCTCGTCACGCCAGCGGACCGCCTTGGGCGTCTCGGGCTCGAAGCGATGGTCTGACCTAGGTGCCGGCGGGGCCAAGCCGAGCTGCTGCTTGAGGGCATCAACGTCCGAGAGCGCAAGCACATCGCTCCACACGCCCTCGATGTCGGCCGGAAGCGGCGCGCCTGTCCCCGCCGGAGCCGGAGAGCGGGATCGGGACTTGGCGCGGACCGGGCTCGACGCCGTGCCGAGCTTCTCGAGCGCGTCCAACAGGAGCATACGGGTGTGAGCGTGGGCCTTGCGCTCATTCATCAGTGTGGTGTGGGCGTCCAGTGCTAGTGCCGTCACGCTGTCCAGCTTGGCGTGCAGCGCTGCGCCTTGGTCAGCAGCGCCGCCTTGGAGCTCGGCCACCAGCTGCTGGGTGGCGGCGTGCTCGACCCGGAGGCGAGCGTACGCAGCATTGACTCTCTCCAGATGCTGCAAGTAGCTTGTGTCGACCGTAGTGGTCGACGTGGGTGGCTCGTCGGACGCCATGGATGCCGAGAAGGGGAGGCAGCGGGGAGAGGTGGAGAGCGGCGAGGCAGCACGAGCACCGCAGACGGGTCTCGACGGAGGCAATAGGCCTGGGCACGGCATGGTGTGACACATCAGTTATTTGTTGGCTACTCGGCAACGGCAGCATCGGTAGCAGCAACGGCAGCGCCATCGGCAGTATCGGCAGCGCCATCGGCAGCGCCGTCATCGGCGGCAGCCTCAGCCGAGGCTGCTTCGGCCGAGGCATCGGCAGCACTGCTATCGTCAAGGGCAAGACCGGCCATCTGGTCGGCAACATCGTCAACGTCAGCCGAGGCAGCAGCCTTGGCGGCAATGGCGAGCTCGACAACGTTCTCCGAGACGACGTCGTGATCGGGCGAGCAAGCGGCCTTGGCGACGAGCTTGGGCATGCACATACCGCAGACCGCAAGCTTGCATGTCTTGCAGTAGACATCGGGCATGTTGTTCTCACAGACGGCGCAGTCGACAAAGTCCTCGTCATAGTCCGAGTCGCCACCGTCGGCGGCGTCAGCGGCGGCGGCTTCGGCGGCGTAGGCAGCGGCGGCGTCGAGGGCGGGCTTGACCTCGGTAGTGTAGATGTGGTGGCGGAGGTTGACGATGGTGGACGAGAACTCGCCCTCAACCTCCATCTCAACGGCGCCCTGGACGGCGGCGGCGCGGATGTCGTCGTTGGCCACTGCGTTGTCAAGGCGGAGAAGCTCGTACATCTGGGCAGTGGTGGAGGCCTGCGACAGCGGCTCGCCAACCACCATGAACATGGAGAGGCCAAACTTGAAGAGCCACTCGTAGCCCTGGACCAGGAAGTTCTCCCAGAAGGTCATGAGGGCCTCGTAGTGGAGGACCTGGATGCCGAGGCCGACAAACCACTTTTGGGTAAAGTTCTGCGGGAGCACGCCCTTCTCCATCAGGTTGCCCATCAGCGGGCCGAAGAACTGGCCGACCATGGCGCCGAGAACGCGGGCGTCGACGTTGAACTTGACGGCCTCGGCGCGCCAGTATCCGGGGATGTACCGCTCCTCCTGGTCAAAGGCGAGCACAAGCTGGGCCACCACCTCGGGCTCGAGGAACATGAGGAGGAAGCCGGCGGCGTAGGACATGCCCTGTCCGTAGTCGCCGACCTTGTGGCCAACGTGGGCGAGGACCTTAGTCAGCGCCGCCTGGCACACCTCGCCGCAGAACGCGCGCTCCACATCGCGCTCGATGATCCGAGTCACCGGTGCCTCGTCGTCAAAGGCAAAGTTCGGATCGATGGTCACGCCCGAAGAAGCGACCCAGGTCGAGGTCCGGGCGAGGGCGGCCGGCGCCGACTCGGGCGTGAGGTAGCCGTGGTTGAGGAGGAGGATAGGCGCCTCGGCCTCGTCTTCGAAGAACGTCGGATGGCGGAGCATGCTATGTAGGTGGGTGTAGGGGAGGGAGAAGTGTGACGGCGGTGGTGTGGGGGGCGGATGGTGTGGGTGGTGGTGGCTCGGCCGGTGAATGCGTTGTGGGTGGATCGGGCCCGGGATGGCGCGCAACGCGCTGAGCGACTCAGGCCGATTCGGTGCGGCGCTGGGCGACTCGGTGCAACTCGTTGCGGCCGTAGCCACTCCTGATGCACATACCGGATCAAGAGGTGAGCGCTTTGCTTACATCGCAGAAGGCGATTATTGCCTCTGCCTATCGCATCCCAAAAATACGTCCGAGAGCGAGTTGAGCCGTCTCCACGTTGTGCAACATGACTATGGGAGGGGGATGCCTGGAATGGAGCACTGTCATACGTCTCGGCCAAGGCACACGACAAGGCGAGTCCAACTTGAAAATGCGTTTATGGGGTCTGGTTGCTCGGACGCGTTGTTGCGCGTCTCAAAGTGAACAACACAGCGCCGGATCAAGTCCTCTCCGATCCAAAGTACGTGTTGGGCAGGGTGGCATGTCGTTGGGCATACGGTGTAGATAGAGGGGAATTGGAAAGGTGAAGGGGAGCACCGGTACCTTAGGGATGGCAACGCTTCGGGTCGCGCGGGAACATGGAGACCTTGCGGACGTTGTCAAGGGCAAAGAACTGGAGAACGATGCGCTCGACACCAAAGCCACCGCCGGCATGGGGCGGGGCGCCGTGCTTGAAGGCATCGACGTAGCTCTGGATGGGGGTGAGGTCGACGCCGAGCGAGTTAGCACGCTCGACAAGCATGGCCGGGTCGTGGATACGCTGGGCACCCGAGAGGATCTCGCGGCCGCGGACAAAGATGTCGTACGAGTTGGAGACGGCGGGGTTGTCGGGCCGGCACGCGGTATAGAAGGGGCGGACGGACGACGGGTAGGCGTCGACGCAAAAGACGTCGGTGCCGTACTTCTCGCGGACCAGGCGACCGAGCTCGCGCTCGGCGGCGGTGTCGAGGTCGCCGTGGGAGCCGTCACCGAGCTCGACGCCAGCCTCGGTGAGCATGGCGATGGCCTCGGGGTAGTCCATGACGAGGATGGGGAACTTGTACGGCGAGTCGGTCTCCTGCTCGTAGCGGTAGACGAGCGGCTCGAAGGGGTACTGCTCGTTGACAGCGGCGCGGAGGTCGGCGTACTTGTCGGAGGAGAGCTCGTCAAAGACAGCGACAAGGGCATTGGTGATGGTGACGAGGACCTCATGGTAGTGCTCCTTGAAGGTGGCCTCGATGTCAGCGCCCACAAACTCGACAAGGTGGCGGTTGGTGTTCGAGTTTTCGGCGCGGAAAACCGGGCCGATCTCAAAGACCTTCTCGAGGCCGGCGCAAATGGCCATCTGCTTGTACAGCTGCGGTGACTGGGCAAGGTACGCCTTGTCGCCGAAAAAGTCGACGGTAAAGACGTCAGCGCCGCCCTCGGACGCGGTCTGGATGAGCTTGGGCGAGTTGATGCCGGTGAAGCCCTGCGAGACAAGGAAGTTCTGGAAGGCGTTGACGGCGACCGAGCGCATGCGGAAGATGCCCTGGTTGGCCCTCGTCCGCAGGTCGATCCACCGGAAGTCGAGCCGGGTGTCCTGCCCGACGTGCGCAAAGCCGCGCTCGTCGACAGTGCCGTCGGCCACGCCGGTCTCGGTGCCGTCGCCGTCACCGGCGGTGGCGGCGACCTCGGCCGACGACGACGGCGCAGACGCGTCGCGAATCTGGAACGGGAGCTCGGCAGCGGCGTTAACCACGTAGCACTTGAGGACCTGGAGCTCGACGCCTGACTTGGTCGTGTCCTTGATCTCCTCGGGCGGGATCGAGACCGTGGCCGTGACGTCGACCAGAGACTCGTTCGAAATGGAGGCCAGGAACTTGGACATGGCCTTGTTCCCCGAGTAGTGGCACTGGATGGTGTGGATGGTGCTCCGCAGGACGATAAACGCCCGCTTGCCCTGCCCACGCACAGTCTGCGCGTACCCGCGGACTGTCACCTCCTGCCCGTCCATCGCCGCGTCGATGTCGGCAATGTCGGTGAAGACCCGCCCGGTGAGCGACTCGGGCTCGGAGAGGATCATCTGGTACCGCCCAAAGTCGGACGACGCCACGAGCTCGGCCATGAGCCCTGTCGGGCCCTCGGCAGCGCGCGACTTGGCCTCGCGCGCCTTGCGGCGCTCCTCCTTGGCGGCGGCGCGGGCATCGCCCTTGCCCTTGCCCTTGCCCTTGCCCTTGCCCTTGCCCTTGGGCGGCGGCCATTCCTCGCCCTTGGCCAGCGCAAGCGCCTTCTTCTTCTCCAGCAGCGTGGCGATGGCCTCGGTCGCGTCCTCGCCGGCGGCCTTGAGCTCGCGGACAATGGTGCCCTGCGCCTGGACCTCGGCCTCCAGGACCTGGATCTCTGCCTCGGATGCAGTAGTTGCCATGTCTCTGCTCTCCGTGGCCCCCGTCCGCACCATACTGTGAGTCTTTGCATGGAGCATCTTGCCTACGTGGTGGTGACGTCGGGCGAACGATCCCATCTGACAAAGTCCGAATTTGTGGTGGCCACAGGGGAGGGGGGGGAGAGGGGGAATGGGGAAAGGGGAAAGGGAAGGCTTCCTTGGGGGTTGAGGGATGGGAAACAGTTGGTGTTGTGTGGTGTGTGTGGATGTGAGGCGTACATTGTATGGCGAGTGGGATGTGGTGGAGTGTGACAATGAGTCTGAGTCTGCCAAGTGGTGGCTGGCTGTCTGGTGCTGCGGCTAGTGACACTGGTTTTTACTTTGGCAGAGGGGACATTCGCAGAAATGGACAGTGTCCTGGAAAGTGGCATGCCTCCAGGCCTGCGGGGGGGAGGGGGGGGGGGGGGAGGGGGACTCATGCACGCGGCGGTGGTGGTGATGGTTGTGGTGGTGGCGGGGGTGGTGGTCGTGGTCGTCGTGGTCGTCGTGGACGTGGTCGTGGTCGTCGTGGTGGCGGAGGGCAGAACCGGTGGTGGCAGCACGAGCTGCGCCGGTGGAGGCTGACGGCGGCGGGAGCGAGATTGGACGCAAGCTGTGTGCGGCGCAGATGTCTGCGGTGTTTGTGGCACGGGTGCAGGGCATTGTTGATCGGATGGGTGTCCGGCGCGGAGCGTGTGCCAAGTGCACGTGTCCGGTGTACAAGATCCCACCACGCGGGCACAAGTGCGCAGCGTGTGGTCATCGCCCGCCGAACCATGCCAACCTGGACTTGTACGAGCCCAAGGTGAGTGGCGAGAACGGCGCAGACGGCGCCGGACGGGAGAATGCGACCGCGCTCGCGGGCGGGAGTGGGCCGAACAAGTTTGCGGCGACAAACAACGAGTCGGTGATGCGGGTGAAGCAGATCATCAAGAACATGACCGGCGACATGCCGCATCTTGCCGGGCGGCGGCTGGTCCGCGAGGGCGTGCTCAAAAAGGTAGGCAAGCGCAAGAACGCGCGGCGGTTCTTCCTCTTTGAGGACATCCTCATCTACTCGACGGTCAACCTGCCGTACAAGTACAAGGGCTGCTGCATGCTTGAGTCTGCGTACGTCAATTCAATCGTCAAGGGTAAGAAGCAAAAGGTGACCAACATGTTCCAGCTCATCGGCGCCGAGAAGACATTCACCTTTCTGGCAGACACGTTTGAGGAGAAGGAGCTCTGGATGAGGGACATGCGCACCTGCATCACGGCGATGCTCAAGCGCAATCCGCATGCCGCCGAGAAGCGGGTCGAGGGCATTGCTCCGTCGCGGTGGGGCTTCCGGCGGCTGCGGTCCGGCTCGCAGGCACAGTCACGGCGCGGCGCAGGAGGTGGGAGCGGGAGCACCGGGAGCGGATCGGGTGCCGGTGACGATGCAGGGCACGCCGGCTCCATCTCAGCACCGATTCCCGGCTCGGTCAAGAAGCGCGACCCGTACTCGATTCCCATCCGCAAGGCGTCGGCACGCAACGGGTATGCAGATGCGGCCAGTGCTTCAAGTGAGAGCGAGCGGCCAAAGCGGGCGGCATCTCCGCCGCCGGCGGCGATCCCGTCGCGGGCCTCGGCCCGGGCCTCGCGGCTGAGCATGGCAGGCACCGATTCGGGCGCGTCTGGGAGCGTGAGCAAGCCGCGGGCACAGACGGTGACCAGGCAGTCGGGCGGCGAGCGCGCATCTGTGGTGCGGCCGGAGCGAGCGGCGACAACATCCGGCAAACCGGGCATCCTCCCGATACCGCGGAAGGCTGCCGTGCCAGTGCCGGTGGAAGCGGCGGCGGCAAAGCCGAACAAGCCTGTGCGGCGAGCAACGGTCCGAGTTCACACCTCGCGGCTGTTCAAGGATGCGGAGCTCTCGCCCGAAGTCCAAGAGCTGCGGCGCAAAACGCTCGAGGCGCAGCAAAAGCTGCTGAAAAAGGAGCAAGAGCGGTTGGCGGCCAAAGTGGCGTCCCGTGACGGGTCTACGCCGCCGCCAACAGTTGCAGCGCCTGTGGCGGCCAATGCGGTGTCGGCCGGCTCGGAGCCCGGCTCGATGCAGTTTGCCACGCTCGACGCGCTCATGGACGAGCTCGACTTTATGCTCCCAGCGTCGGCGCCCAAGCCGTCGCCGCTCGCGGGGCCAGCGGTAACCGGCGACAGTGGCTCGTCGGGCGAGCTCAGCTCGGACAGCGGCGACGACGAAATCTCGCTCAGCGAGTCGGGCGACGGTGAGCAACGAGCCGGCAGCGTCGACCTCTCTGCTTTTGGCACCCTCGAGCTGGATGCTTTTGGCTTTAGCGGTGGTGCTGTTCTTCAGCCTGAGCCTGTAGTGGCCGGGCCCGAGCCTCCGGCCAAGATCGAGGTTGAGGTTGATCAGGAGACCGATGTCGAGGTTAGAGTCGAGGCCGAGGTTGAGCATGAGCCCGCGCCCGGGTCGGAGGATGAGGTTGGGGCTGCACTCGAGCCGCTATCCACACCAGATCCCGAGCCTATGCCCGCGGTTGAGCTCGAGGCTGAGCCTGAGGTTGAGCCCGAGGTCGAGCCTGAGGTTGAGGTCGAGGTCGAGCCTGAGGCTGAACCCGAGGCCGAGCCCGAGGCTAAGCCCGAGACAGAGGTTGAGCATGATCCCACGCCCGAGTCGAAGGTTGCGGTTGAGGCTGCACTCGAGCCGCTTCCCACACAAGATCCCGAGCCTATGCCCGCGGTTGAGGTCGAGGCTGAGCCTGAGGTTGGGGTCGAGGTCGAGCCTGAGGTTGAGCCCGAGGTTGAGCTCGAGGTTGAGCCCGAGGCCGAGCCTGAGGTTGAGGTCGAGGTCGAGCCTGAGGCTGAACCCGAGGCCGAGCCCGAGGCTGAGCCCGAGACAGAGGTTGAGCATGATCCCACACCCGAGTCGAAGGTTGAGGTTGAGGCTGCACTCGAGCCGCTTCCCACACAAGATCCCGGGCCTACGCCCGCGGTTGAGGTCGAGGTTGAGCCCAAGGCCGAGCCTGAGGTTGAGCCCGAGGTTGAGCTCGAGGTTGAGCCCGAGGCCGAGCCTGAAGTTGAGGTCGAGGTCGAGCCTGAGGCTGAACATGAGGCCGAGCCCGAGGCTGGACCCGAGACAGAGGTTGAGCATGATCCCACGCCCGAGTCGAAGGTTGCGGTTGAGGCTGCACTCGAGCCGCTTCCCACACCAGATCCCGAGCCTACGCCCGAGGTCGAGCCTGAGGTTGAGCCGGAAGTCGATCAGGAGACCGCGGTCGAGGGTGGGGTCGCAGTTGAGGCTGATGATGGGCTCACATCTCCGCGTGACGCCGAGGCTGAGCCGGAAGTTGAGTCGAAGGTCGAGCAGGAGCGCATACCTGAGCCCGAGGTTGGGCCCGAGGTTGAGCCTCCGCCTGACCTCGACATTGCACCAGCGTCCGTCGCAGCAGCCGTGGCTGTCGCAGCCGTCGCGACAGTTGCTGCCGCTGCAACGAGCACCCCCGCCACCAAGCCCACTCCTGCGCCCGACGCCGAGCCCACGCCCGGCGCTGAGCCTGTAGCTGACCCTCCGCCGACCTTGGCTCGCGCAAAGAAGGCCTCGGTCGAAGCTCTACCGGTTGTGCTCAAGGCAAAGGTGGTGGTCGCTCCTGTCGAGCGTGCCATGGTCCGCCGCCCGGACGCCGCTGTGGTGTCTATGTCGCAGCTGACTGCGTCACGGGCAGCTCCGCGGCTTTCCACAGTCGACATCGACGGCCTTGGTGACATCCTTGCCTCGCTCGAAAATGACTTTGTTGTCGACGACCTCGACCACGAGCCCGCCGCTGCCGCAGAGCCCGATCTCGCACAGCATGACGACGCTTTTTCGGTCTCTACCGTCACCACCTTTGAGAAGATGGATGACTTTCTCTCATTCCTCATGGACGAGGCCGGCTCCGAGTATTCGTCCGACGACGACGACGACGACGATGATGCCGGCGACGACGCCGCATTTGATGCTCTTGACGCCCTCGCTGTTGATGATGGTGACAACGAGGACAACGACGAGTCGCCGATCCTTGCCGCTGCCCAACCTCCCGAGCCCGAACCCGAGCCCGAGCCCGTGCTCCAGTCCGAGCCGTTGCCCGAGCCCGAGCTGGAGTCTGCAGCTGACGCCCCGCGAAAGTCGTCTCTCAAGGCTGGCGCAGCAGACGCTGATGCCACCGACGCCGTCACCGACGATGATGTCGGCGTTCAGTCGAAACGGCACACCTGGTCCGACCTCTCAATGGAAGACCGGGTCAAGGTCGTGCTCGAGCCGCTCCGTCGTAACGGCGCTGGCCGCTTTGCGCTCCCTGAAGTCCGGGTTGTGCTCATTTCGATGGGCTACTCGACGTGGGACGCGACAGCAGAAGCTACCTCACTCTGCGAGGACAACGGCATGGACGTCGCCGAGCTGACCGAGCTAATTGTCGATCTCGTCGACTACTACGGCATTACCATGCTCTCCAAGCTCGACGCCAACATCATCTCCCATGTCAACACCGCCCACCTCGGCGACGGCAAGACCAAGGCCAACAAGCTGACTTTTGCCGAAACGGTCGACAAGCTCGTCTACGAGATCGGGCCCGTCCACGACGGTGAGCTTGCCATCAAGGTCGGCGGTGCGCCTGTCCGCACCCAGGCCGACCTCCGCGAGTGCCATGACCTGCCCATTCACATCGACACCATTGTCGACCACCTCGAGGTCCAGTCGGTCGACGGCGAGATCCGCCTCGACTCGATGCGCTACATCCTCCGCACTGTATTTGCCGTTCCCGACAACGAGGTCGACGCCCACCTCGACGACTTGATCGACGAGGAGGAGGACCCGGACCACGTCTCGTACGAGGGCTTTGCCCATCTCCTGCAGTCGGTCTTTTACTACCAAGGCCCGCAGGCATTCCTCGACATCGAGTCGGTACTCATGGCCTTCTCACTTGAAGCCCACGGCCTCGAGTAGGTTGCCTAGCAATGAACAGTGCCTCATTTGCGCCGCCCCGGCGATGTCGCCTTTGGCGACGCTACCATCGTCCGCGCCGCCGAACTGGTCCTCGCCCGCCGTTGCTTCTTGCGCACATAACGCGCCTTTTTCGACTCGGCCGCTGCCTTGGCCGCCGCGTCAATTTGGTCCATCAGCCGAGTCGTCGTCGACACAAAGGCATCAAACTCATGGATGACCTGCCGCACATGCGCCGAGTACCGGGTATCCGTCGGCTCGCTCGTTCCGCCACGCCCACCGCCGGCGCCCCAAGCATCCATCTGCGACAGCGCCATCGACTGCAGCTGTGCCGCCATGATGTACTGCGCGTCAACCTCGGCCACCTCGCACACCGTCTCAAGCACCACCACATGCATCATCTGCTCGGCCTCGGTCATCGAGTCAAAGTTGGCCGGGAGTCCCAGCGGTGGTCGCGACGTCCGCCGGACGCCCGCCCGATACGACACCTCCGAATCGCTGTCGTAGCTGTACGATTCGAGATGTTGCGTGTTGCGATAAGCGCTCGCGCCTAGCCGCGTGGTTCCCGTCACCATGTCATCGTCGTCAGACGATGAAGCAACGATTGGGATACGAGCTCTCTCGGCTGCCGCCGCCTCAGCTGCCGCCGCCTCAGCTGCCGCCGCCTCAGCTGCCGCCGCCTCAGCTGCCGCCGCCTCGGCTGCCGCCACCTCAGCTGCCGCTGTTGCTTCAGCTTCTGCTGCTGTCGCTTCTGCTGCTTCAGTCTCGGCCTTGGCTGCTGCTGTTTCTGCTGCCGCTGCTGCAACAGCATCACCATCGCCATCGGGCTCGATCGGAGCCGCAGGTGCGTCCGCAGATCTGACCGCGGCTGTGGTTGCGTCTTCTGCCGCAGCCGCCGCGGCCACCTCTGTCGAAGCTTCATCAGCTCCTGGCTCTCCATCTGTTGCAGCTTCTGCTTGAACAGCGCCGCCATCTGACCTGGCATCGTCGGCGCCAGGATCAACCTCGGCCTCGCCTCCTGCACCGGTCCCATCCCCAGCATTATCCTCGCCCCCAGCGTCGTCGGTCGATGCGGCCGCCGGCAGAGATGGAGGCGAGCCGTGGCGGAGAACAAGGACATGCGACTTCTTGAGCTTGAGGGTAAAGGGGGTGACATCGTCGAGGGCTTCGATCACGAGCTCATCCTCGCCAGCACTGCAATCTACCGGTCGGTAGAAGACGGTATATCCGTCGGGGCTGGCTATGCCGACCTTGTCAAGGAACTTGGCCTTGGCCATGGACGCCGCCAGCGGCTTGGTGTCGAGGAGGAACACCCGCTTGGCCTCCTTCACCGCCCCGTCCTCACCATGGACCTCTACCGTTAGCAGCACCATCCTTCAATTGATAGTGGGAATGCTAGTAGTGTGGTGGTCGTGGCCCAATACTCTTGCCGCCAGTCGTCGACCTGTTCCCTCAGCACCACTGCCGCCCGCTGCCTGTCCCGCTGGCTGCCTTTCCGGCGAACGGATGAACGGACGAACGGACGGACGGACGAACGCAATCCCTCGCACACACACATACACACACACACACACATACACACACATACACACACATGGAACTTCTATCACATGCGTCATGCATGCTCGTTGACTAGTTCAAGTAAGAAGAGTACGGTCCGAGGCATGCACCCGCAGCGATGAGAACGGCAATCATCGCATCGTTGCCGGTCCCGGTTGCGTAGAGTAGCGCCTCGTGCTCGTTCGACACGTCGACGCGCGCATCGTCCGTGAGGAGCTTGACAACGGCGAGATGGTTATACTTGACCGCCCAGCGGAGTGCGTAGTGTGAGAGCGCCGACGGGTCGACTCGCTCGTCTGCAAGGAGCAGCTCAACAGTCTCGAGCCGGCCAAACCGAGCCGCCCATCGAATCGCAAAGTTGTCTGCAGTGGTGGGATCAGTCCTGGGATCGGCAAGGAGGAGGCGAAAAGCGGCAGCGTCGGGGCACCGCGCCGCCCGCCGGATTGCCCAATTGTCGTGGGCAGCCGGATCAACCCGTGGATCGGCAAGCAGAAGAGCAATAACCTCGTCCTGTCCCGTATCGGCCGCGAACCGAATGGCTTCGTTGTTGCAGGCTGCGGGATCGACGCCTGCCAGCCCAAGCAGCTTGCACACAATACCCGCCTGTCCGGCCTGGGCCGCAAGCCGTAGCGCCCAATTGTTGTCGGCCGTTGCGTCGATCCGGGCGTCGGCGAGAAGGTAGTCAAACACTTCAGTTAGACCGCACTGTGCTGCCATGCGAAACACATTCTGTTGCGATGCCGTCACATCAACCCGTGGGTCGGCCAGCAACACAAGTGCTGCTTCAACATGACCGTGCATGACGGCCTCATCCACTGCGCGATGGTCGCCTGCGCGCGGATCGACCCGCGGATCTCCAAGAAGCAGAGCAATGACGCCAGCCGCGCCGCTGGTCGCGGCCCGAAAAAGGGCTATCGCGTTGTCAGCGGCGGGATCGACACGGGAGTCTGCCAGTAGACGTGCAGCTACGTCGGTATGGCCGTGCTCCGACGCCAGCTCCAGCGCCATGGTAGCATCAGCCGAAGACAGGCTCTCATCATCAAGCAGCAGTTCGACAAGCGACAGCAGTCCCGCAGCGGCACCGAGTCGCAGGATCTGGCCCTGGTCCTGAACACTTGCGCTCTGAGCAAGCTCGGTTGCGAGAACCTCGAGGCCAAATACAGCCGCCGCCGCCCCGAGGCACACCTGCGGCTGGAAGACATCGCGCCAAAGCACATGGCCAATCTTTGGAGGCCAGCTCACCAGCCACACAACGCCTGCCCGCGCAAGTGCCTTGACTAGCACGTGGCGATCAAGGGCTTCTTCCGCAGCAAGGTCAGCACTCAGCGCGCGCTTGAGCAGTGGTGTCGAGACGAGACCAGGGAGTTCTGATGAGCTTGTGCGCGCAAGTGCAATCCAGGCAGCTCGCCACATGCCGCGCTCCATGCAGCTAGCGACGCCCATAGTTGCCGCAGCGTGGGCCCGGGCGTAGTACGAGCCGAGTAGCGCCGAGTGGAGAGCCCACGATGACGATGCGAGCGCGACAATTGAAGGTGCATCGAGATACGGAAAGGCAATAGCGTGAAGGATTTCGGTCGGGAGGCGCTCGAGGAATGACAACGGTGGAAGTGGGTCGGCGCCGCGTGGCAGTGCCGCGCCCGCATTGTGAAGGAGTCGAACAATCCGTGTATGACCTGCCATGTAGGCGCGGCTCATGGCCTCTCCGTTGCGGGCAGTGGCATCGACCTGCGGGTGGGCGAGAAGAATGCCAACGGTAGTAGTGTGACCGTTGATGGAGGCTGTCACCAGCGCGGCATTGGCCATGGCGCCAGGATCGGTGCGCGGGTGCGCAAGGAGAGCGCGGACAACGTCACTGTCGCCGCGTGATGCTGCCCACGACAGAGCCGAGCTGGAGCTTCCGGGATCAATCCGCGGATCGGCTAGAAGGACGTTGACAACATCAATGTTTCCGCCCTTGGCCGCCCAGGTCAAGGCGAGACTTTCATCGAGTGATGGATCGACAAGCGGATGGTCCAGGAGCAGGCGTGTAGCCTCGAGGTGGCCGCGATATGCGGCCTCGCACAGCGCGCTGCGGCCGCGACCTGGATGAGCGCCAGGCTCTCCTAGTAGGATCTTGAGCATGGCACAATGATTGTTTGCCGCTGCGAGCACAACAGGGTTGTTGCGAGCAGCAGCCAGCTCCACGTCGCCATCCGCGAGCAGCCGCTGGGTGACGCGGGTGAGGCCGGCCAGGGCGGCCGCCGTGAGCAGCCCTGCCTTGCCGTCCGCCGATGGCGGAAGTGTCTCCAGAAGTTCCAATGCCACGTCCTCAAGACCACAGAGGGCAGCCAGTGCGTGGATGGAGAGGACAGTCCGCGGATGCAACAAGCGCGTGTCAGCGAGTTCCGCCGCCTCGGAGACGCCAAGCGTGGCCCCACATCCGGCGATGGCATGGACGAGGGCGATCCAGTGATCATCACACGGCGCAGGCGACAAAAACACAGCAACAATGTCTGCAACGGTCGGTGGTGCAGCTCTACGCGCGAGTGCCATGCTTGCGCCCCACCAATACCCGTGTGCGATGGCGACGGAGATTCCCGCGCCGGCATGTGCGACAGCCCGGGCATACGGCGAGCCAAGGAGGGCGTCGTGTAGAGCAGAGCAAGTCGAGGCAAGGGCAACGACCGAGCGCGAGTCGAGGTACGGATGGGCGATGGCGTGGATGAGTTCGGGTGGGAGGTCTGCCAGCATCGCGGCGAAGCAGTCGCAGCGACGAGAGGAAGGGGGAAGAGGGCCGGAGTGGCGAATGATGACGAATGGCGGCGAATGTCGAATGGCCACAGAGACGAGTGGCAGGGATGGCTGGACAGGCAAGTCACGGCCCGGACCACAAGGCACGGGAGCGAGGACAGGGCACACACTGCACACGCACACACACACATACGCACACACACACACACACACATACACATACACACGGTCGGAAACACGGTCAGACACGGTGCACACAACTGACACGCGACTCGGCTACCCACGACCCCCACGACAACACCCTGCCCCCGTCCCGCCCGAGCCGTTACCCATGTCCGCCCACGCTGATGAGCTCGATGCGCTCCGCTCTGCTGCTGCTGATGCTGCCTTTGCTGCTGCGCTCCATTCGGCACCGGCCATCAATGAGCTGGCGGCAAACATTGAGGTCTCGCTGGCCACGGTCGATGCCCTTGTGGCCGAGGTCGTCGCCATTGGTCACGCTGCAGAGCACCTGCTCGACCGAGGCGACACAGGCGATGTCGGCACGCTCACAGACGAGCTGGACAACTCGCTGCTGGGGTCTGTTCTCCATGGCGATGACGCACTCGTGTCATCCCGCGAATATGGCTGCTGGGGCGCAGAGCCCCACGACAGCGGCCGTGCTCTGCTCTCGTCGTCACTGCTCTCGATCTCGCAGATCGGCGCCTCGCCGCCGCCCCCGCAGACGCCGCCTGCTGCGTCCCGGTCACCGCATGCCGCAATGACCGCACCGGCCTCACCATATGCCCGCGCCGCCATCCACCGCGCGGTCGAGCGGCTGCACGGCTCCCCCGGCCTGCTTGTTGGATGTGAGTCTCCGCAAACTGCTGATGCCCGCCAGACTGTAGCCGCCGAGGAGATGCTCTCGGATCATTACGCCTGGCATGTGGGCTCGCTTGATGCCGCCGCTGCTGTCGTAGACGCTGTCATCGCCGACGAAGCTGATGCCGCTGCCAATGATACATGGCGCGAGTCGGCAGCAGACAGTATTTTGCACGACGAACTCGTCGCGCTCATGCGCGAGGCGGCCGCTGAGGCCGTCGACGACGTCGCGCTCGAGGAGGACTACTCGGTCGGTTCGTCGTACTGGGGCGATGACGATGCCGATGCGGGACAAACTCCTGTTTCCGACACCGCCACCGCAGCATCCAACCCTGCCCCATTGTCCAAACCGTCCCGCGCAGCGCGCCCGACGCGCCCAGCACCGCGCCCGCCGCTCCTGCTCCCCGCCCAATGACAGCTCGGCCGCAGCTGGACCACCCCGTGAGCGAGCATGATCACACCGTCAAAGGCTGGGACAAGCTCGGGATCGTGAGTCACAGCGACCACAACAAGTCCACGCCGCGCCGCCGCTGCCAAAACCTGCGGCAGCACCCGGTCGCGCCGTTTGCCCACATCCATCTTAGACAGCGCCTCATCCAGAAGCAGCAGCTCGATATCGCGCCGCACCAGAGCTCGCGCCAGCGCCACACTTTGGGCCTGGCCACCCGACAAGTTGCTTCCGCCACTCTCGATCTCCAGCTCGAGGACGTCACCCCCGCCGCTAGGCTCTGCCAGCCCGGCAGCGTCGAGTGCGTCCCGCAGCTCGGCGTCACTGGCACCCGCCGCGAACAGCTGCAGGTTATGCCGAACGGTGCCAGCAAAGAGGAACGGCGACTGCCTCACATATCCAATCCGCGCCCGCGCCGGACCTGTCTCGCTCTCGTCGCTACTACGCCACACCACGCGACCCGCTGTCGGCTGCACCAGCCCGGCCAGTAGCCGCACCAGCGTCGACTTTCCGGCCTGGTTCGGCCCGACCACTGCGTAGCTGCGCCCAGCGCGGAGCTCGATCTCGGCGCCCACCCGAAGCTTCCATGACGCCCGATCGGGGTAGACGTACTCGATGCCGCTCGGCAGAACCACTGTGTCCAGCGGTCCGGAATCAGGTCCGGCCGCGGCACTCGATGCCTGAGGCAGGTTGAGGATGGCATTCAGCTCCTGTTGCTCGTGCGGTGAGGCAAAGAGCAGCGACGTAAACGCCCACAGTCGGCGTAAAATCGCCAAAAGTCGATTCACGTCCGACACTGCCTGCGCGTACTCGGGATGGGCGACTCTCTTGGTCATCAGTACCCATGGCACGACCGAGAGTTCCAGCAGCGCCTCAAAGGTCGACCGCGAACAGCACGCATTGAGCACTGTGTGCGCCATCGACAGCACGCCGTAGTGCGAGACTGCGTCGTCGTTGTGGATCGCCTCTACCGCCGCACCCATCGCCGCCACCGCCCCGGGATGCATCTGCAACTCGACCGCGCCGGCACCAGCCTCCTGAAGAAGCGCCACACCACGGGCATTGGCTGAAGCTTTGCGCCCACGACGCGCTTCCACCGCCGTGCCGAGCCGATCGCGGGCAGCGCGCAAGCAGCGCTCAAGCGCAAAGCCCAGCAATGGGTGCAGGAGCAGCATCGCGTCAAGCCGCAACAGGTTTCCCCGTGCTTCCGCTGCCCTGCCACTCCGCCGCCCACGAATCAACGCCGCAGTCTCAACCACAAGCGCATACGAGTCACCTACAATGGCGGGAAGGACCGAGGTGACCATCGATGCTGCACGGGCCAGCTGCGTCGCAGCTACCGTCAGCCGGCGCCCGAGGCCGGGCCCGCCGTCGCCCTGCAGCTTACCCACTGCGCCAGGCTCAGCCCCGAGCAAAAGTCGCAACAGATACGACCGATACCGACCACGGCTCGCTGATGCCAGCGATCGGCGCAGCGTCGAGAGGAGCGCATCAAGCAAGGCCGCCCAGAGCGCGATCCCTGCAAAAGCCAGTAGCTCGCGGCCCGTCGGACGCCCGGCGCCGGTCGCGGAACCTCTGCTGCTTGATCCGTCCATGGCCGTCACCCGTGCCAGCAGGCCGATCCGCGCCCGCCGCACCGCATTCGCCACCGACCGCATCCGCAGCGCCGGCGGCAGCAGCCAGTCCTCCAGCAGCGGGCGGGCATAGTACAGCGCCGCTGTAGCCAGCGCCAACTGCGGCGCCGTCTGCCAGAGGTGGGCATAGAAGCCCACTGCAGGATGTCGCCCGGCCATCACCTCCGCTACCCGCCTGTCTGCCGTCTGCTGTATGCCGCCTCGCCGCTGCCTTGTGTCCCTCTCGTACCTGTGGGTCGAGTCGAGTGGCACCACCATGGCGCCCTCGCTCGCGGGTTTGTCGACTGTGATGCCTCGCTGCCTCCCGCTGCGCCCATCGACCTCGTCTGCCCATCGCACTCCCAGGGGCATCGTCTGTGACACTGTCATCGCTCGCGACAGCCGTCATGGCTCAGCTCACAGCTGAACGCACACTCGCCCTCAACGACTTTGCTATCGTCCCTACCGGCGACAACGACTCGCTGCAGTCTCGCAAGCGCATTTTGTGCAGACTTTATGATGTGGTCAGCGTTCTGGTCGTCCTCGGGCTTGCTCAGCGCGATGGTATCGATCGCACCACCACTACGATTGCTGCCAGCTGAGGTGGCCGTCACAGCCGGCGCGACTGGCCTTCAGCCATCCACACGTCCGGTCGGTCCTTGTCTGGATACCGCATGCTTTTCTTGCGGGCAAGCTTGCGCAGCCGCCGAAGCCGCTTCGCATTCTCGCTCTCCTCGGGGTCGGATGATGACGATGACGACGCGTAGGACAGATCGTCCGACGAGCCCACGTGGAGTTCGCCCTTTTCCACGCGCGCCTTGGCCGCCGCAGCCGCAATGTCTGCCATCACACTCGGTGCATCGGTGCTGGCCGCGGGTACGCCTGGTGCCAATCGTGTCGCCTTGTCGGTCGTGCCTGCCGCAGCCGCCGCGCTTGCCACGGCAGTAGCCGATGGCGCCGCCGATGGTGCAACCGGAGGCGCTGCCGGAGGTGCACGTACGCCGTGGACCGGCAGGCGCCGCCGCAGCTCTGGCAAGAGCGACATGTAGTCCACGTGTCGCACGTGTGCTGCGTTCGCCGCCGCGCCCTCCACTGCGCTCTCGTCCATCTGCAGCTCGTCCGCGTACGCATGGCAGTACTTGGAGAGGAACCGGTGCCAAAAGTGCAGCGCCGTATTCTCGTCCGGCAGGTGTGGGAGCACCCGTGAACCTTCATCATCACCTCGTACCGCTCATCGGCGTCTGCCGCCTGAGAACCCAGGTCCATCACAAGCGCGATGCATGACTGCATCGCTTGCACCTGTGCTGGTGTCATCGCCACCTCTGACGACGCCGCCGCAACAGCTGCTGCAGGCGGCACAACAGCAGGTATAGCAGCTGGCGGGGCGACTGTTGCGCTCATAACTTCCGGCTCGGGTGTATGCTCGACAACACCGCCGCCGCCGCCAAAGTGCGCCGCGTACGCCTCGGTCTCTGCCGTGAATGCATCCAGCTCAATCCCGCTCGCCTTGCGCGTCACGACGGTCTCACTAATCGCCACGCTCCCGTTGCGCATCCGGGCATTCAGCCGCCGCATCTTCCACTGCTTCCAGTTGCGACGAATCGTCCGCACAAAGGCAAGCCAGTTCATCGCCGCTGCAGGCACAATCCACGCCAGCCAAAGGCCAGCAAGGCCAAACGAGTCAGCGCTCCACTTACCATATCCGATCTGGTGCACAAGAGCGAGTCCGGCGCATGTCGTTCCCACCTGCACGCACGCCATCGCCCACCACAGCGAGAGGCCAACCTCGTTTCGAACGTTGAGCACCTCCCACACAAACCCAACCATGTTGAGATCGCGCAGATGATTCGCTCGTGCGTGTTCCACCGCAGATGCAGTTGCCCACAAAAGGCTCTCCACGCCCGCACTGCACAGCACCGCAACCATGAACAGCGCCACAAGCGACCCAGTACCCCAGTCGCCCGGCTGCGACGGGCCGCCCATAAACATCGCCACACACAGCGGTGTCAGGTAGAGCGTCGTCGCCACGCCAAGCGCTGCGCCAACCACTACATTCACCCGCTTCCGCGCGATGAACACTCCGCGGTTGACAGAGAATCCAAAGACGAGCACAACAACGCCGACCACCGTCGACCACACCCCGTCATACCGAATCGAGACAAGCGCCACAGACGCCGCCCACGGGAGCAGGTACAGAAAGAGAGCGGCGGCCAACACAAAGACCACGTCGTCAACCCACTGCACGCCGAGTACGCCGCCCGCGCGACGCACAAGACCACGGTGGAACACCCACGCAAGGACGCCCACCACGACTGTGCTGAAAGCCATCACCGCAAACAGTGCCGTCACAGAGAGCCGCTCGTCTGCATGCTGCGCAACCCTGGCCGGCGCACACGCCAGCCAAACTCCGGCCCACCGCGAGAGGCTCTCCACAATAACAAGCAGCGGCTCGTTGACAAAGCTAGTCCTTCCCGCGTACAGCGCCCGCATTCCGGCAGTAATCACAAACCTCGACCAGAGCCCGGGGTCGCGGAAGTGGCCCACAACCAGCGAGCCCACCAGCCCGGCCCATGCCACATACGACAGGGCCACAACCAGGTAGCCCAGCGGCCATCGCGACGGCGGGTCATATCCTAACCGCGGCGCCCCAGTGGTGCTGTCGCCGCTAATAACGCCCGCGTACTGGCCGCCTCGTCCGTCAACAGAAACCATCCAACCGGCCGCGGGTGACCGGCAGTGCAGCGGCGCGCTCGTCTCAACAACTACCGCCGCAGAGGCCTGGCAGGCCTGGACCGTGTCGGAGCTGTAGCATGCAGACTGTGCCACCGCCCACGTCGCCATCGCATGTGCTGTGCACGTCGTTGCAGGCTCAAAACACGGCATCGTCGCTCCGTCCACACGATCGCTTCCGCCGCCGCCGGTTCCAATCGCTCCCGCCGCGACGTCCAGTCGGAGCTCGCGTCCCGCCGGCGCAAGCAGAACGCCTGCAGCCTCGGCCCCGACAGAAGGCGCAAGCACAAGCCCGCTCCGCTCTCCCAGCACACGGATTGTCGGAAGCTCGTTCCTGACGGGAAGCGCGTGTTCCGGGCCTACTACAACCCAGTTGAGACTTGCGTCCTCAAACACCACCTCGCGCACGTACCGCTTGCGAGGGAGCATGCCATCGCGAAGTACAATTTCCACCGTAGGCGGTCCAGCATCTGTGCCCCGGGCTCCAATCCGCATCGTGTCTGCTGTAAGAGTCACCTCGCGGTTGACAACCGCGTACGGGGCCTCGCCCTCGTCGACATCAACCACAAACCGAACGCGTGCCTCCAGAGTTGAGACCTCTCCATTTCCTCGGACATCCAGCCCGGGCATACCGGCTCCGTCAATGCTTGCACCCGAAGCCAACACAAGGCTGCTCCCACTTGCTGTCGTCAGCTGGACCGAGCCCCGCAGCCTTTTGGGCGCCGCGATCTCTGGCCACGCTTCACCAAACGCGTACTCTCCAGCAAACGCCGCAGACGATGACGTGTTGAGCTGGACGTGCGACCCGCTGACGAACAGCGGCGAGCCGCCGCGGATGGTTGTGGCCGTGCCAGGGCTCGTCACTACCTGCAGCGCAAACGAGTACCCAGCGTTAGTCTCAAACATCATAACACCTTCGGCCTCGACAATCGTGCTCATCCGCACCCCGCTCCACCAGCCAGGACGGTTGTCCCGTCCGCCCAGCGGCTCCACCTCGACCTCGGCGACGGCCATTGCCCGTGCATCCAGCACCAGCGACCGCACCGTGTGACCCGAGCCCATCGATGCCACAGACACGTTGCCTGCAACAAGACGGACAACGTCGGCCTCGGACATCAGCAGCGGACCCGGGAGGCAGTTCATGAGCTGCGCCGATGTGAGCGCCCCTGGAAGCGCGTCCACAAGACGCAGCATCCAGCTCGATGCGGCACGCGCGCCCGCTCCGCTCCGCGGGCGCAGGCATCCGTGCCAAAACTCGAGCGCGGGCTCGGCACTCATGTGGCTCATCGGGAATGATGCCATCCGCGTCTGGCTCCCAACCGCCACAAACGTCGTCGTCTCGGCTGCCGTCACGTCGCCGGAAATTGCCACGCTTGCATTCGTTACCACAACCACCGGCCCACTGTACTGCAGCGCACTACCATCCGACGCCGCACCAGGGAACCGGACCGAGGTCCGCGCGTCGGCGCCGTGTACAAACAGCTCGGCCCCGTTCGGCGCCCCGGTCACCGTCACTTCAAGCCCTGACGCATGTGTGAGCGGAATGTCGTCCACAGGCGTTGCGCCGACTGCGTTCAGCACCAGCCCGCTCGGTTGGTAGAGTGTCGCTGTAAAGAGACCAAAGCTGATGCTGCCCGCTTCGGTGTTGTCAGCAAAGCGCTGGATTTTGGCCTCGGGTGGGAGCGCCGTCGCAAAGTGCATGTCACCCGCTGGAATGGTGACGGTCACTACTCCATCCGACCGCTCCGGATAGCCGTGGACAACGCCGGTAAACGCGGCTGCTGTGTAGCTCGGCAGCGCAAACTCGACCGCATAGTTGGACGCTGTCTGCATCTGCAGCGTAACCTCGCCATTCTGCCCGCCGCCCACAACCCGCACGCACTGCTCAGGAGTGCCCTCGTACCAAAGCCGCACGCCATCCAGTCCAGTCATGTTGAGCACACTCTTGTATGCGCACCCAGCCTCTGAAATCGGGAGCAGCGGCGTCTCCGAGCCAGGCGCAGGGAGTGCCGGAGGGCCCACAGGACTTGACACGTCCAGCGGCGCGTCAAGCGAGCCGCGGCACTGGACTGGCCGGCCTGACACATGCGCTGTGTCAACAGCTGTCAGCCGCAACACCGCCAGCGACGACGCAGCAAGCGGATTGGTCGACATCGGGGCAAAGGACCCGGGTTCGACCATCGATGGCGGTGCGAGTGAGCCGTCCACGTCGTAACACACCAGCAGTGTGTCGCCCTCGCCGTCCTCGCCGAGATCAACAGCCGAAGCGCCAGCCGCGTTCATCACGCACACCGAGTCGGCGCCCGCGCCGAGAGCCGCTGTGAGCGTGGCGCTCGGTGACGCGGCATCGCTCCACGAGACCCGGTCGTTGCCACCGCCGGTGTCGAGCGTGAGGCTGATGGTTTGCAGGCTGCGGCCGACCACCACATCGTGTGCGTCGCCAGTAGACACCTCAAACGCAACTTGCGCTGTCGGCGCCACATTCACAGCGCATCGCGCTGTGCTGCAGTCGTCAAACGACGGCGCACCGGGAAGCGCGCTCCGCGCAGCCTCGCACACCCACGCACTGGGCACAGAAGTCTGGATGAGTGGTTCGGGGTCGGCTGCGTACGCGTCGGCGAGCCCAAAGCTCGAGAAGCATCCGTTGTCCAGCAACAGCCGCTGCGCCGGTGCGTTCACGCCTGCCGCCGCCGTCACTCGCATCGGGAGTAGCGGCTCGGTGTTGGCCGGCGCCACCAGAATCGGAGCGGTAATGCCGCTCAGCGGCGCAGACGTCTGCAGCAGCGGTGACGTCGATCCGCTAACATCGACTCCGATCCGCAGATCAAACGTGCCCGTCACAAGAACAGGATCCGAGTTGGCCACAATCTGCACAAAGTTGACCGGCGGGCCGACAGCAGGCCGAGGCACCGGCGGTAGCCTGATCACCACTGACGTGCCAAGTGTACCGGCTGCAAATTCGACGTGGTACGCCGTCGATGCACCAGCAGTGCTAAAGTCCAGCTCCAGCCGCTCGATGGCCTCAAAGAACACGTTGACCGGCTGGAACGCCCGCAACGGGTCGTACAGCACAATGCCGCCCCGGTTGATGACCACATGGGTCCGTGGGCCTGCTGCCGTCAGATCGTCAAGCACCAGCGTGTCACGCTGGTCGGCCGCTAGCGACCCATACACGTACACCGTGCAGCCAAAGCTGGACACATCTCGGAGCACCGTCGTCATGTTGCCGCCGCCCTGCATCCGTACCACGTGCTGCGACGAGCCAGAGCATCCGGTCACCGTCGTCGACATCTCGGTCGACGCATCGCCGGCGAGCGTGACCTCGACTCGTGCCCCGTCGGCAGGCGACATCACCGTTGACTCGAACACTGCCCCGCCCGACGCGGTCACGTCGAGCGCCAACGTGTGCACGTTGACATGCGAGACCGAGTGGTTGCCGCCGCCGTCGGTGAGGACCAGCGAGCTTGTCGACGACGCGAGTTTGGTCACCTCGCCGGCCGCTGCCGCCACGCCCACATGCAACGTGTTGGTCACCGCCGGCGCGCCGCGGAACGCCACGTGTCCATGCACAGCCTCGAACGCAGGCAGAACAAGCCGTGTGTCGACAGGCGCGCCATTAAAGGTGGTGAACCGCGCCGGAGGAGAGTCGCTGAGCGTAAACGTGCTCTCCTGTGACGTGTCGACGCCGGAAATGGTGAGGTTGAACAAGCTGGCGGGGTAGCTGAGGGCGAGGGCGCCAAGCCCACTCACCGACTGCTCACTCACAGCCAGCGTATGTGCGCCGGTCAGTGCAATCGAGAGCTCCATCGGCGAGCCGGTCATCACCAGCGGATGGCCAAAGCTGGCCAGCGAGCCCGAAAGCCGCACTCGCCCGCCAGCGCCGGCCTCGAGCGTCGTCGCACACGGCAGCCCGCTCACGTCGTAGATGAGTGCCGCCAGCGGCTGGTCAATGACCACGGCGCCGCAGGTGCCAAAGGTAGCGCCCGACGCCGCGCCGGCCGCAAGCCGGTTCGCTGACAGCACCACCGTTCGCGCAGTCGACAGTGTCGCCACGTTGCCGCTCGTGGACGACGTCGTCGCCAGAAGACTTGCGTACGGCGCCAGTGGCAGTCGCACCGTCATTCCGCTCGCCGACGGCAGCGAGACCAGCTTGTTGGTAAAGCCAAGGTCAAAGACAAAGGCCGAGCCCGATGGAGGACCGTACGTCCCAATCGTCTCTACCGAGTTGATCGGCACCGCCCGCGTCAGCAGCGAGGCGCCGGCAAGATGGTTCGCCGGCTTGAACGAGGTGACCAGCTGGATGCCGGAATCGCTCAGAGCCTCATAAACTGCAAACTTGGGCAGGGCTTCAAGCGACATGTCGCTAGCCAGGTCCGGAGCCAAATCGTTGGCACCAGAGAGAAGGCCCATGTTGAGGGCGCCTGTCGGCGAGGCCGCCGGTGGGAGTGGGAGCGGGGCTGCCGTAACCAGCGGCCACGACCAGGTGTGCGACCACTTGGCCACGGTCTTGTAGCCAAAGAGCGCAAAGACCTTGATTTTGGCCGTCACAAACAGCTCCAGCGAGAGCTCCTTCTCGAGCGCGTCCCACACTCCGTACGCCTTGACCATCCACGCCAGCTCGTCGACAGTGAGCCACGGCTGACCGTTGATCGACACAAACCGGAGCTTGCCCACCAGCTGGATGCCTACCGCCGCCGAACCCTTGACCACCAGCAGGTTGACCGTTGCACCGCCGGCAATGCCGACCGACGCCTGCAGCTGCCATCGCTTCGATCCGTTGTCGTTGATGGTTTTGATGGCCACGCCGCGAGCGATGAGCCCGACGTTCTTCTGCGCTACCGCGTCGACAACTGCCGACGACATGACGGCCAAGTCGCCGACGTACACCGTCACCGACATAGGAATCGCAATGTCCACAGTCACAATTGGCACCGGCCACACCACCCACGACCAGGTCGGCGCCAGCGCAAACCGTGCAGGTGCCACATAGTATCCCACAATTGGCGTGTCGAGACCAAAGAAGATCTTGATCACGTTGTTGGCAATCGAGCCGTGGAGGAGATACAGCCGAAACCCTGATGGCGAGTCGTCGGCTGGCTGGTTCGCCGAGCCGCCCATGAGTTCCAGCAGCTCGTTGAACTCCTGGTTGACAAACGGATCGGTGACCGCCGAAATGACCTCCGGATCCGGAAGCGGTGACTTGGCAATGGTCACCAGATCACCTGGATGCAGCGCATTGCTGTCGGCCGCCAGCATGAGGTCTGCGCCGTGGCGGAAGGACGGCAGGTGGGCAAACGGCGGTGCGTCGCCGGCAAACGGTGTCGTCGCCGCCTCGAGCATGACCTCGAGATCCTGAAGCGACATGTGCAGGTCGCACGGCCCGCCGGTGTTGGCTGAAGCCAGTGACTTGAGGCGGACCGCAATGTCGACAATGTTGATGAACTTCTCAACAGCCTCGAGCACCCCGTCGGCAGAGCAGTCGTAGATGCCGCAGAGCTCAACGGCCATCTCAAGCGCAGAGAGCCGGCGGCCGAAAATGATGTCGGTGTACTTGATCTCGCGAACGAGGTACCCGTCGGGACCGATAAACGGCTCGAGCGGGGTCAGCACGTCGTCGGCCTGCCGAAGCACGCCGCCGACAAGATCGGTGAGGAAAGAGCCCATGCAGAGCTTCCCGTTGCTCAGCTCAAACGTCGGTGGTGCAGCAACGAACGAGCTGCCATCGCCGACGCTTGCGGTCAGCGACCAACCGAGCGCGAGGTCCCATTCGACATGAGGCGCGAGCTTGAGCAGCGCACCCGAGCCGGGACTCTCCAGCTCGGCGTTCTCGATGAGCCTGTTGAGCAAGCCACCTAGGCCGAGTGTCGCCGGGCCGCCGAGCGTCGCACCAAGCGAGAGCGTCGCGCTGCGGAAAGCCGGCGCCACGCTCAGCTCGAGCGAGAGGCCCGACGAGCCGGGTTGTGGTGACATCTCGAAGCCGGCCACCGCCAGTTGGCCGGCAAGCGAACAGCCCGGATTGAAGACCACTGCCGCGGAGAACGAGGCCACCTCGGGCGCAGTCTCAAAGTCAAGCCGCAGGCCTCGGTCACGTGAGTACGCGAGGCCAAAGGCCAGCTGCCAGTCGAGCGCAAGATCCAGATTGCAGTCGATCTCGAGCTCGGCCAGCCCGCGGGCGCCAAGCCGGAACTTCAGCTCGTCAAAGGCAATGAGCTCGGCGTCACCAAGCACAAACGGAAGATGCAGGTTGTCGGTGAGCTCGCCGGGTGGCAGACTCGGACACGAAACCAGAAGGTCCTCGAGAACGTCGCAGAACGCGGCGAGAACCTGCTCCCACACGAAGCGCGGGATGGCAAACGGCGGGAGGAGCCGGGCGCGGTCGTGGCGCAGATCGGTGACCACGTCGTTGATCGTGGCCACCAGCTTGCGCAGCGTGACCGGCGCCATCAGTCGCTCGCGGAGTCGTGCCACGGCGGCGTCTGCAAAGCCCGGGCCGAGGAAGCCGACGTCGAGATTGGCCTTGCCGAGGAAGATCTCGACGCGGGTGAGGAACTCACCGACGCCGTCAATCCATGCGTTGAGCAGCGCCATGACGTCCTTGGTAAAGAAGGCCTGGATGCTGAGCTCCCCAAGCGCGTCGACAATGGCGTCAACAACGCCCGAGCCGCAGTTGATACCGGCCTCGACAACCGACGCCGATGCGCGCCTGTCGAGGAAGGCCGCCAGATCCGGAACCGCCACCGCCAGAGAGCACACCACGTTCTCGTTGATGGAGAGGAGTGCGTTGAGACTGGCCGAGCCGGTAAGGCTGAGGTCAAACCTGGGGAGGAAGCCCGAGGCGGCGTCCGGCGGCGCAGCGACGGCGGCCAGCGCCGCGTCAGTCACGTCAATGTGGACTTCGCCGAGCCGGAGCGCCAGCGCGCCAAAGCTGAGCGTCAGCTCGCCGTCAAAGTCGACGCCGGCGGCTGTGCGGATGTACGAGCTTCCTGGCTCAACAGACACCGCCGCAGTTGCCAGATTGAGCGAAACAACGAGCTGGTACTCGACGGTGGCGGTGGCAACAAGATCCGCAGACGCGCCTACTCCAACCGGGAGGCTTGACGACGCGCCGAGCAGTTGATCCAGATCGAGCCGCGCAGAGGTGGTTACATTGGCGGCAAAAGGTCGCCGCATAAGCGTCAGCGAAATAGTGGCGGTGTCAGTAAAGGCGCCGTGGGCACAGACGGTAAACGCGGCGCCGTTCTGCGACGGCAGCTCGGCCAGGATCATGTCGGCGAGTGAGCAGAGAACTGTGAGCGTTAGCGGCTCTTCGAGGCTTCGAGTGCAGACTGCCAGCCGCAGGGCATCCAGCTTCGCCACCACCGAGTCAGCGCCGAGCTTGGCGAGCTTAAAGTCTGTGCCGGGTAGCCGAGCATTGGCAATGGGCGAGTCAAAGACTACGGCCGAGGCGTAGACGAGTGTGTCCATGACATCGCAGGCGGATAGCGATCCGGTCGTCAGAGCGTTGTATGCAGCGAGGGCGTCAAAGCCACCGGTCCAGCTTGCCGTCCAATCGTAGCTGAGCGCCGCAAGTTCTGGATCAGACAGAATGAGGCCGGCGTCAACGCTCATGCGCAGGTGCAAATTCGGCAGGTCCGGGAATGAAAGGGTGAGGACCTGAAGGGCGACGTGTGTGACGTCGAGTCCGGCATCGACGTCGAGGGTCAGCGCAAAGGTGCCAAAAAGCTTTGAGGTGTCCATGACGGCATCGACGAGCGAGGCGACCGGCGTGAACGCCGGTGTGCCAGGCGCCGGGCCGGCGCCGAGATGCAGATTGACAAAGGCTGATGTCGAGCCGGTGGTGAACGACGTGATGCCCACACGCCCGGTGAGGTCGAGGAGCTCGGCGGTGAGGTTGGCGGTGAGGCCGAGCGCGAGCGATTGTGCCACCATGCGGACTTGCGACGCCGGCACGCCTGTGCCCTCGGCGAGCGCCGGGATGGTCGACGCAGTGACCTTGAACGAGATTGGGACGTAGAGGAGCGAGTTGGCACTGTCCTCCACCGGCGACGCCGTGAGCTTGACCTGGAACGCCGAGTCGGCGGCGACGACACCAGTGGTCGACGACAGCGCCGACGACGCGTTGTACAGCCGCGCAGAGAGCGAGGTATACGGCACCGCCGAGATCATTTCTGGCGCCGGGAGCGCGGCCGAGGCCGCGGCAGCGACTGCTGCGTAGATGGTGGCGTTAAAGTACTCGCCCGGCGGAAGAGTGATGGCCAGCAGCGCCTCCTGGTAGACTGGCGGCGCCGCGCCGCCGGGTCCGCCCTTGGCGTGGACGTTGTAGCCCAAAGTGAGGGTGGCAGTGTTGTTCGGCGCAACGACGAGCGCCTCGTTGAGCGGGCGCGGCTCGGCTTCAGAGCCAAAGTTGGTGATGAGGAGCGCAGCGCCCGAGCCGGATGGCGGCGCGCCGAGGACAGCGCCAAATCCGCCAGAGATCGCAACCTTGGCTCCGCCGGCGAGCTTGCCGGGGAGCGGCGACGAGAGTGAGATGGCGTTGCCGAGCGTCGCAAACGAGGTCTGCATGGCAATTGGCGGATCAATCTCGTACTCAAACACAGCGTCGAGCGAGAACATGTACGCATCTAGCGTGGGCGGGTAGTACGCGGTCCAAGCTGGTGGGATGATCGAAGCGAGATCGGCGACCGGAACCGAGACCAGTCGCGGCACAAGGAGCGAGCGCGCCGACGGCGGAGAAGGACCGACGCCGCAAGGACCGAGAGGTCGATGAACGACGAGAACTGCGGGACAATGGCGGTCGAGCCAACAGTGACCTCAAACGGAGTGGCGAGCGGGAACGGCCCATCGGCGAGGCCCAGGGGATTGGCGACCACCGCAATGCGCAGCGACCGCACCAGGCCCGGCAGCCGGGCGCGAATAGTGAGTGCTGACGGTGCGGAGATGGTGGTCGACAGCGGGTCGGCGTCATCGTCGTCGGTGTCGAGGCCAAAGACGAGGACGCGGGCAAAGGCGCCGCACTCGGGTCCGGTGAGCGCAGCGTTAAGGAGGTGCGGCCAGTCAGCCGGTGCCGTCAGCTGCCCGGCAATGGTACAGACAGTGGCGAGTGCCGGGATGTTGTTGAGCGAGATCTCGAGGGTCTGGTTGAAGACGGACGGCGGAGTGGCGAGCGCGGGCGAGGGGAGCGCGGCCAGAATTGTGGCGGTGTCTGTGGCGTCGCCTGGGCGGGCCATTCGCGCCAGGGCCAACTGCTCCATTCGCGACGGAGTGGAGAGCGCACCTACCGAGGTCCCGAGCGGCGCAAGCTCGAGGTCGAGCGTACCGCCGTCGGCAAAGAGCGAGGAGCCGAGGCGAAAGACGGTTGAAATGAGCGCGTTGAGCGCGCGCGACGGCACAAGGTCGAGTGGGACAGCAGCTGCGCCGGCGGCTGGTGAGGTCAACGAAGTGACTGAGAAGACCAGTGGCGATGGCAGGATCTCCGGATTGTGGAAGAGGTTCGGCGTGCTGAGATGCAGGGCATAGGTCTGCGGCGCCAGCGCGCCGCCAAGGAACGACTGGGTGGAGCAAGTGAGATCAAGGGTGAGCGCAGCCGCGAGCGGGTTCGGTGCTCCGAGCGAATGTGTGACCGAGAGGTGGAAGCTGCCGTCGAGGGTGAGTGCCGGCTGCATGCCGATGGTGACCGGGACCACAAAGCGCGAGACGTTGAGCGCTGCGGCAAAGTCCAGGTCGGTGATGGTGGCGCCGGTACTGGGAGCCAAGGTGGCCGCTAGGCGCAGGTTTGCTGTGATGGGCATCGGGCCGAGCGAGGCCGAGCCAAAGACCGGGAACCACGGTGCCATGTTAGAGCGCAGGTGAGGCTGCAGTCGCGACGAGGCCACAAGGAGGAGCTCCAGAGTCGGCTCGGGTGTGAGCGAGAGGCCAAACGATGTCGTGAGCGTCGAGCTATCCGAGTTGATGGTGAGTGCGGCGGTGCGTGTGAGGAGCGCGGCAAGATCGAGCGAGGAGGTCGGTGCGTCGGGAAGGATGTTGGCAAGCACCTCTGTGAGGAGAGTGGCGATGTCCAGGGTGTCCGAGAGCGAGGCCGGTGAGTACGGCAGCGGATCAAGGCCGTGGAAAATCCAGGGTGAAGCTGAGGCCAGCGAAGCTGCGGCGGACGAGAGAAGCGGGCCAAAGGTCGACCGCGGCGAGGTCACCAGCGTGTCGAGGTGGGCGAGCAATGGCGAGGCGAGCGAAAGCGCGCCGCGCGGAGCGCCGAGCGCCGCCGCTGCCGAGCTTGCAAAGTTCGCCAGGGGGAGCGAGACCGTCGGCACCAGCGGCGCCGCCGACGCAGTCAGCGATGGTGGCGCGGCGAGGCCGACGTGCAGCGTGAGGGCCGGGAATAGGGTGTTCGCGTCGCCGGTGTCGAGGCTGGCCAGCTCGAGGGTGAGAGCGAGTGAGCCATCGATAGCGACAGGACCCACGTTGAGCGCCGGCTCGAGCGAAACGATGGTCGAGAGCGAGATAGCGCCCGTGGCTGAGGCCGAGGCCATGTAGCCCGCAAGCGAGGCGTCGAGGGTAGGGATACTGAGGCCCGAGGTCGAGCCTGGGACCATGTTCTCGAGGGCGGCAGCAAGCGAGGAGATGGCACTGTTGAGGGCCGAGGCTGCGGCGTCGAGGGCGGCGTCGAGGACGGCTGTCAGCTTTGGCAGCGTGGTGATGGCGGCATCGTCGAGTGTGAGGAGCGCTGAGAGAGCAAATGTAGTGCCAGAGGGGTCAAACGAGACATTGAGGGCCATCGCGTAGGGCGGCGGGACAAGGAGCGGGACCTTCGCGGCGGCGTACCATGAGATAAAGTCAAGGAGCGATCGCTCAGCCGGCAGGCTACGAGCCTCGTAACTAGCCAGGAGAGCGTCGAGTGCCGGGCCGGAGGCGGGAAAGAGTGCGTCGATGGCGGCGTCAAAGAGACGCGGCGGGGTGCGGGGCGAGGACGAGGCCGCGGCGCTGAGCGAAGCAAAGAGCGAGGTGACTGAGGCTGTAAGAGAGGGTGTGGTCGTCGTCGGGGCAGGAAGGAAGCAAGCGCGAGCCGGAGTAAAGACATTGACGACCGGCAGGGCGTGAGGCTGGCCACCGGTGGAAGGCCAGATGATGCCGGTGAGAAATCCGCGGAGGGTTGGCGGGTGCGCGTTAAGAGTGGCGTAGACGGCGACGATGTCATGGGCGACAATGAGATCGGGGAGGGCAAGCGCGTTCGGAGTTGTGGTCGCCGAGACGGCGAGGGTGACGACGGTGTCGTTGGTCGGGCAGGAGAGCGAGACCATTGTGTGGGCAGTGCCGGAGAGCGGGACGACCGAGGCGAGGCCCGTCGAGGCATTGTAGGCGATCCACATCGAGGCAACGGAGGACGACACAACGGCATCGTTGTTGAGAACAGCTGGCGAGCAGTGTGGGAAGAGGGCCGTGGCGGCGAGGTTGGAGGCGACGAGCCGCTGGAGCGGCGAGTCGCAGGCGAGGCCGGCGCAGGCAGCCTCGGCAAAGACGTAGAGACCGCGCTCACCATAGGCGCGCTCGCCGTACCGCAGCTGCGCGTCATGGAAGAGGTCCGAGTCGGCGTCGATGAACAGGCCACGGGCGGTGAGTGACGAGTCGGCGAGGGTGGCGGCGGCACCGGTCATGCGGACGTTGACGTCGGTGAGCGGGGCGCGGAGCTGGGCTGCGAGGGCGTGAACTGCGTCGAGAACAACAGGGTCTTGGTAAGTATTGAAGAGGACAAGAGCAGGGAGGCCGTCAAAGGCGGCCGAGTCGTGGACGTAGACACCGGCATCAGGCGAGGAGGCAGAAATCGAGCCGGACCAGGGCAGGAGCGGCGGGAGCGAGGCGATGCCTGCAGCCGAGTACTCGATGTGCGGGAGGAGGAGCGAGAACGAGCCCACCATGTCGATGTTTGGGTATGCCGGCGAGGGCGCCGCGGTCGAGGCAAGCACAAAGGCCATATCGATGTGGACAGCAACAGCAAGTGCGTCAGCGGCAGTCGGCGGGACGGTGAGCGAGACCGAGACGGTGAGCGAGCCCGAGGCGACGGCAACAGGACCCAGTGCGCCGTCCATGTCGGCGAAGAAGGCCGAGGTAGGATTGAGGGCCAGCGCCGTCGATGTGGCGGTCAGCGGGAGGGTCGGTAGGGCCGAGCAGGGGGTGGTGCCTGCGGCGGCGGAGATGAAGTCTGCCACCGAGGAGAGGACAGGACCGGAGAGCGAGTCGGGGGCAAGCGGAGCATCATAGGCAATGCGGTTGAGGAGGGTGCATGCGGTGTCTGCAGGCGGGGAGCTTGAACCATACGCGCCCAAGGTGCACAGTAGTAGGAGCAGAGTCAGCGTGGCCGTAGCTGCCCGTCCCGTGCCTGGTACCGTGGGCATGCGGGGCTTGCGGGGGAGAAGGCGTGCACGCGGGGAAGGGGGGGGTTGGAGTCGAATGGCGAATTTGGAGCGGGGCG